ACGACCTCTCTGTATCCTTGGGCCTCTCATAGTTTGGGAGTCCGATTCTGGGGTGAGGGGGCAGACATTCCAAGAAAACCAGGTGAAGCTGCGTGGTCTTTGCTTACCTATCTTTGGATTTCATACGGCATCCCTTCAGCCCCATCCTGTTCTCAAGACAGCTCAGGTTCAAGGCTAGAGATGACATCTCTCCATCTCTTCATCGGAGATTAGCAAGATCACACTGCATCACAACACGTGGTAATGAGATCACAAGATGTGATCTACCTTCAAAGTTCCTGCCACCAGCAGGAACAAAATGATGGTCTCCAATAACCCTGCAGACTCACTGTAACTGTCCTCGATTCACAACTCACAGGCTTTTTTTTTTTTTTAGTGTATATTAGAGAGAAATAAACTTCTATGCTGTCTAAAACATTATTTTGATTTTATGTAATATGCCGTTCAACACAATGCTAATTGATACAGTGGTGGTCGGTGACCTCAGGCTTTACCATGCCAGTAGCTCATCTGTGAACTAGATCAGCTTAAACACCGACCCATGGAATTGGTGTAAGTTTGCAGGCAAAATTCAACATCAAATCTACTGCAATCATTAGGCTAATAGCATTCTCCTTTGCTCCATTGATTCAGTTTCCTTTTTTACCCCTGCTGTTTATCTTAGCGGAAAGCGGTAACCTCCGCGCAGAAATGGCACGGCGTTTTTTCCCATCCAGCAGCGTTGCTGATGGTGTACCAGCACGTTCTGATCCCATTTCTGGAGCCGGAACAATCTAAACTTGTATAGAGAAAGCCTTCATGGGTTTTTGTTGGCATAGGAGAAGTCTAATTACACACATCCAAATACACAAGAGAGAAATGGAAGGTTTTTCCCCCTTGACTTGGAAAAGCTGGTGGTTTTGACCTGTAGTACTTGAATGAGAGATCCAAGCTAATTATGGGATTGCATGTTTAAACAGTTATTTCTTTACAGAATACTCCTAGCACATTTGTAAGTTTAATTTTCTTGGGGAATCTGTGCTATTCAAGGACTTTTCTGCACAGAATTCTCTCAATTTGAGAAGGTGCATTAGCTTTTATTTATCAAGAATAACCTCATTAACTATATGCCTGTGTTCTTAGGTGGAATTAAAAGGTTGTTCTAGGACTTACATTTTATCATTATTTCTTAGTTTATTTTCTCTTGTTTATTCTCTACTCTTAAAAATAATCCAGCTCTGTGTTAGAATGACTTCTATTACTAAATCTTCTTTTTGGGTTCCATGAGATGGCATCTGCTTTGTTTAATTAAATATTATTTTTGTAGTATTTTTCATAGTAAGTGAAGATAATAGACACTCAATAGAATGAATGAATAACTGGATCTTCTTATTTTTATGACTGTCTTTATTTCAAATTATTGTTACAGCACATCTACTCCACCCTTTTGTTAAAGTACCTTATCTCAATTTTTTGACATACCCTGCCTATGGAGATTAAGGATGATTGTGATGTATTTGAAATGCTGATACCCTTGCCGTTGGTTATTCGACATGAGAGGGAAACTCACTTCAACTATAACTGTAATTTTGGCACACCCCATAGGACAGAAAGGGTCCAGTACACATTAGGACTGGAGGATAGAGGGCATATATGTTTTGCAAAATTACTGCATGGGAATCACTTGGAGGTTTTAATTTAACTACTTTTTTTTTTTTAACCTGGCAACTATCCCAGGAATCCTGAATCAATATGGAATGGGAGGGGACCTCAGTTTTTACTTTTTATCAAAAATGCATGTTGATTCTGATCGTTTAATCTTTAAAGATAGTCATCTAATGATACCACATGAAAGCAAATCATAATACGAAGCAATTTTAGAATGAAAATTCCATACAGAGAATATATTTAATTTTCTGGAGACTCCACTCAAATATAAACTAACATTTACATGTGGCTCATGTGGGAAACCAATACTTTCAGGATAGGATATATCTAGATTATTAAAGGATGCATTATCCTGATTTTTTAATGGAAAAGAGAACTATCCTACTTAGAAGCCACAAACTACTTAAAAAGCTACTGCCAAGATTCCTTAAGAACATTATTCCTTTAGAAAATACATTAAAATACTTGATATGAAGGATGATACATGAAGGTGAAAATTTCAGTGGACCTTAACCAGTGACTTAATTATTTATAGTCTCCAGTAGTTGGTTAATAATGTAAGATGATGAGACTATTAAAAGTAAAACTAAGCTTTTATCTCTACCATGAATATTTAAGGCTAGCAAAGCTAATTTTAATGAACTGATGTGCTCATGTGCTTGGTCATGTTCGACTCTTTGTGACGCCATAGGCTGTAGCCCGCCAGGCCCCTCTGTCCATGGGGTTCTCCAGGCAAGAGTACTGGAGTGGGTTGCCATTTCCTCCTCCAGGGGATCTTCCCGACCCAGGGATCAAACCCACATCTCTTCTGTCTCCTGCATTGGCAGGCTGGTTCTTTACCACCAGCACCGCCTGGGAAACACTGATGAACTGATACTGGGGACAATTTACATTGTGGTGAACTGTGGAGATCAGAGATTTCACCAGGCTGGCAGACTGGTAAGTTAATTTGCCAGCTCCCTGAGGGCAGGTGGAAAACCGGAGGCTTCTGGTGGGAGATGCAGGATTCTTGTTTGCAGCGGTTCCCTGAGCACCAGTTCCTACAAGCCTGCACAAAGTAGGGGAGGTCACATAATGCCCCCCCAACCCCAGGCACAGAGGATTATATCACAGGTCAAGTGCTCCGAGCTTAAGAAAACAGAATCTTCTATAATTGGCAAAAGCATGCCTGCCTTTGGCTACAGATGGAGACATTATCTTTGCCACACCGGAGACTGTCACGGCTGCACAGCGTCCAGAGGACAACGTGATCTTTGTGTCCCAAGGTTGTTCTCTGTACAAACATCCCTGAGAGGATGGCTCAGAACCAAGAGCAGTCAGCGCTCCTGCTTCCCAGACAGGAAGAACTATGAGATGGGCTTCCCAATACGCATCAGTAACATAGCTGTCATTTTTTAGGATGTTTATTTGCTGCGCATCGGCTTTCCCTAGTTGCAGCAGGAGGGTGCTGCTCTCTAGTTGAGTGCGGGTCTCTCCTGCTGGGGGGTGCGGGCTCCGGGGGGCGCGGGCTCCAGGGCGCACGGCTCAGCTGTTGGGCTGCACAGGCTTAGGCGTCCCTTGGCGTGTGGGATCTTCCCGGACCCGGGATCGAACCCATCTCCCCTGCGTTGGCAGGTGGATTGTTAACCCCGGGACCACTGGGGATGTCCCAGTAACATTGTTTTTGATAACTGTGTAACTTATTTGTCATTCTACAAAGTGATTATCTCAACAGACAAATAAGTATTCAGAACACCCCAAGAAATGCTGTCGTTCTTTCAAGTCCTGTTAAAGATATTTTAGCCAACTAGCACAAAGTGAAAAAGTTGCTGTACTTCCAAAGACAGTAGTATTTTGGGGAGAGGCGAGAGGTTTTATTGTTTCCATTAGTTATTTAGTTAAGGATTCTTTCCCCCCCCCTTTTTCCCTTCCTACACAATAATGGAGCAAGAGCTGTGACTCTCACACATTAGACCAGAAAGAACTTGGCAGACAAAAGTAGCCGAGGATAAGGGGAAAGTTGGGTTTTGGAATTAGACAAAACTGGACTTAAAATTCAGAGTCTTACTCGATGCCAGTTAATTAATGCTTGCTAATCCTCAAGTTTATCATCCTTTATTTAAGGATGACATGACCCACTTTATAGGATTATATGACAATGTATGGAAAAGGTTTATTGAAACATGTGACATCTACTTGTAACGCTCAGTAGATGATGTGCGTGCACAAGGAATCGACCTTCCTCCTGGAGCCCTGCTGTAGAATGCAGACAGAGAAACAGACCCGTGGAGAAGTGATTGGCCCACACTGAGTTAGAGTGTGCATATCTGCAACCACCTAGATCTGCTTGTGGGGGCTTCCCAGGTGCTGCTAGTGGTAAAGAATCTACCTGTTAACGCAGGAGACATAAGAGATGCAGATTCAATGCCTGGGTCAGGAAGATCCCCTGGAGGAGGGCACGACAACCGCTCAAGTATTTTTGCCTGGAGAATCCCTTGGACAGAGAAGTCTGGCGGGCTAGTCCATAAAGGTGACAAAGAGTTGGACATGACTGAAGCCACTGAGCGTGAACGTGGCACACATCTGCTTGGATCACGTGAATACCTTATTTGACTCTTCTCCAAGAAATGGTCTTTATAACGAGAACTGTTGTGTGGCTCGAAGTCCATACCTGGGACCCACACTGCTGTAGGCGACCAGCTCAGAGAAACGAGTGGGGGACCTCTGAGCACGAGTGAGCACAACAGGATGCTGAATCAATCAAAGAGTTAATGGTAGTCACTTCTAGTTAGCCGGATTTTAAAGACTCTGCCTTAAAAAAACCCCAAAAGTCCAAAGTGTGACAGCTTATAGTTGGCAATTAAAAGCTGTCCATGACCAGCTACCTCAAGGTAAGCTCTATTTTGACTTGTCTCAAAAAGTGAAAAATCAACTATCCATTTTTTTTTCCCCCAAACAGTTCCTGTTTTCCTTTCTCTGGTTTTCAATGAATTGCGTTTGTTTTATCTTAAGTCATGCTGCAACGGATTGAGGCTGTGGGCAGCAGAACTTCATTTCTAGCAAGGTTTGTCCCTGTTCCCCACACTGATATTTTTATAGTTATGGGTTTGAGCTTTTTCTTCATGTGTATATTATGGTATTAATAGTGGTGCTGGAGGAGGAGGAGCGTGTGTGTGTGTGTGTGTGTGTGTGTGTGAAGTGTCCGCCTCCTGCTCACCGAGACTTCGGTTACGCAGGGAACGGGGATTTTGGCGCCCTTTCCTCTAAAGAAAACACAGTCTGATCTGAGGAGTGCCCACCTCTTACAAGGCCCCGATTGTGTAAGAAGACCAGAAAAGAAACAAATGCAGTTTAATTGCGTTGGATGCTTGGTGACTAGTTCACAAATCTTTTATTTGTTTTGAGAAGTGCAGCGGTGGCACTGGGTTTTGTGCGTGTTCAGGGAGAGGCAGACGTGACTTACAGAAGGACTCAGAAGCCGACATAATTACCTGGGCTTCTGTCAAACTAATAAACTAATAGAGGTTTCAAAAACATCAGGCAAGACCAAAGGTTTGAGAAACTTAGAAGGAGACTAGACCACGAGCCCTGTTACATTTCTTTTTTTAACACGTGCATTTGAGAGCCTGATGGTTCCATGTAATATGAATTACATGTTTCAAATTTTAAAATAATTTAAAAATCTCTATGTAGGAGGATCTTGGGGTTTTAGAATCAATGTGCTGTTCTTTGGTTTTCTTCCAGTTACACAGGCATCTCAAAGATTTCTTCTCTGACAAAGAAGGTCTCCTAGTATAATGTCCCTGTCCACTTAGAGATAGCTATGGATACCAGTGTCATTTATAATACTGTCTGTCAACCAAGAAGCAACATAAAAATTGAAGAGAATTTAAAAGTTATGAATAGCTGTTGATAAAAGGTCATTTGACAATGCAAGGACTTTACTTGGTAGACATTTTCATTGAACCAGGAAATGAGTACATTTCTTACCTAATGAAATCAGCCTTTTGCATTTGGGGTATACTTTGGATTTTTGGTAGCCTACAGTTAGAACTTACAGTATTCTCCCCAGAGTTCTTGAACTATAGATAGTGAGGAATAGCTTCAAGAAATTATGGTCCAGCCTAGAGGAAGGCTGAGTAAGTGATCTACCGTGTGATTGTAATCATTTCTCTGAATGAATCCAAACGCTAATAACATCAGACCATTCTTCTGACCTGTGCTGTCCATGTCACTAGTAATCAGATTTACTTGATAAGAGTCATTTGTTCTACATAGACTATAATGAGGACAGTTAGCGAGATATCCTTAAAGCCACTCGTGGTGATGTAAGTGAGATTGGGACTGTTGTGTACGTTTGTCTTACTCCATTTCCTTCTTAATTGATAGCATCGTTTATCCAGTGGCCCATTCATTCGATGATTCTTAAGGGCCCAGTGTGATCCAGACAATGTGCTGTGTCCTGGGAGTAAAATTGAGACTCGGATGTAGGCGTTTCCCTCAAAAAAGCCAGTGGTTAGTCAGAAACTGTGAGATGCAAACAGAAACACAATGCTAATAATGATGCTACTAAATACACATTCCATGTGTGATGCGAATCCAGAGGAATGTTTCGCTGAACCATGGGGGAAATGGAAAACCTCACAGTAGAGATGACGTTGAGTTGGGTCTTGAGTTACAAGTGAGAGTCTGCCAGAGGAGTTAAGGAGCTGAATATATTAGACACCCAGAATAGGCAGCTTGCTTTGCTACAAAACGCTCTAAACAGAATCACACGGATTAGATTTAAGCAACTTGCATTAGGTAGTCATAATTTGAAAAGCTACTTCCTTTTTGGCATCCCCTTCACCACAGTGTACTCTTGAAGATGACCTGCTTATGGTTCTTATGTCCTAGAGAGTTGCATGTGTGAATAACCTTGATAATGGATCTGTGCCTTTGATTTTGCATCCTTCAAACCCACTGCTATGCACGCATCACAGCAGGTGCGAAGGAGTAATCTAGTCAATGAAAGAATAAGAGAGTTAGTGTCATGGCTGTTAAAAACAGTGGCTGAGGGAAAGCAAACCAGCTGTAAATAAGGTGGTGGGGTCAGGGGGCAGTTGTCCTCTTGCTTAACAGGTTTACTGGTTTTCCATAGACTGTAGCTTTGGGAGATTGAAGGTGGCAGTGTTCTGAGGTCCTTCTGTATCCAGACTTGGGCCTTGCTATTGGAATAAGTGAAACAGTGAGTTAATAAATGGGGATTCCTCAGTGCTTCAGTGCTGAAGAATCCACCCACAATGCAGGAACCACAGGGGATGTGAGTTTGATCCCTGGGTCAGGAAAATCCCCTGGAGAGGACATGGAAGCCCACTCCTGTATTCTTGCCTGGAGAATTCCATGGACAGAAGACCCTGGCAAGGTATGGTCCATGGGATTGCAAAGAGTTGGACACGACTGAAGTGACTTAGCACTTCGTACAGTTGATAACTAGATGTGGGTTACTGTATAGACTCTAGGAACAGCCTCTCTTAAAGTATAAGGGAATGAGAAATAATACAGAAGTTTTATTAATGGCCAACAAATAAGCAAAAAATTAATTGTCAAATGGCAAGTCATGAATACTGTTAGCATTTACTGTAAAATGGTCTGAAGCTCTTTGGTTAATCCCCTCATTCCATGCTTATACCTGAGACAAGTCAAATGTTCCTGTCACCTGGCTGGGCAGAGAGAGAGAGTCGGAGACATCCAGCCCACTTAGCCAACATGCAGTATTCTCGAAGTCTCTATTTTTGCCAAAGTTCTAAGTGAAAATATCCAGGATAAAAACCATATATAGAAAAGGAGTGTTTCATCCACATTTCATGTAACACCATAGATCATGAAAGCAGAAAGAATTTTAAAATCTAATTTGCTTTACACAAGGGAGTGGGCAGCATGGCAGGATTTTGGGTTCTTCGTGTATCTTGAGTTATTTCTCAAATATTTTGGGTTCAATAAAATCCGAAATGCATTTCGCCCTGAGCACTTTTCCTCCCTTAATTCTGAAACCCATGTGTAATCTAAAGGAAATGTAATCCATATGTTTCTGATTCATTTACACTTAACTCATCAAAATATTTTTCTAGGAGCTATTTGATGTTGAAGAAGCATTTTGAGACTTTTTAATAAGCTTTTTAAAGCCTTCCCACCCCCACCCCTTTAAAACAGAAGGCCATGTTTGCCGAGAAGGAGTAAGCTCCGATACCAAAATATGTGGGTTCGGTTCCAAACTCTGAACCACAGAATTTAAGATTGGGTCTCCATTTATCCAGCATGTTCCTGTATCCCATTTTCTGAGTCTGGTTCAGCATGTAAAATTCGGTAGACCTGCCCAAGATGAAAACGAGACTCTTGTGACTTTACCACAGGATCAAGAGCGAGGCTTAAAGCTGCCAGCTAACAAGGTTGTGATGTTATCCAAAAAAGAAAAAAGAAAGAAAGAAAGAAAGAAAGGTTACCTTGTGGGGGCCAGGGCTGCAATCCCAAGGGGGACGAAGCATCAGGAGAAGTAACCTGTTGCACTTAGAATCATAGTCCAGGCAACTAAACCACTGAATCTTGTTTCATTTTGTTTTGGAAGCCTGGCCATTGAAGCAAAAATCTCGGTGACTTTTCCAAATTTTCCTCGACGTAAACTAAAAATTCCTAATGGACTTATCTTTGCCATCTGCTGGGCCTGCTCCCCCAAATTCTCCATCACCATTCTTAGCTGCCCTGCTTAAAAATCAAAATCCAGAGTTTGACAGCGTCACAGTCAGTGCTGTGTGTGCGCTGGGCTTAGTCACTCAGGCATGTCCAACTCTCTGCGACCCCGTGGACCTGTCCACGGGGATTGTCCAGGTTAGAATACTGGAGTGGGTTGCCATGTCCTCCTCCAGGGGATCTCCCCAGCCCAGGGATCGAACCCAGGTCTCCCGCATGGCAGGCGGATTCTTAACCGTCCGAGCCGCCGGGGAAGTTCCCATTCAGTGCCCACCACGACTCCGGGCCCAAGGTGACCTCTGTCTCCGAGCCCATCCACTGGTCCCCACGACAGAATCAGGGACACCTGAATGACCCAGACAGCTACGCCTGACCTCCTTGATGGGTTTCAGGGAAGAAGCGTTTACAGGCAGAAGTGGGGGTGGGAGGTGGGCCGAAGCATGTGTGGCCCCCCTCTGATTGGTTGGTGGTGAGGTAACAGGGTGGTGTTTCGGGAATCTCAGCCATCAGCCTTCTGCTTCCAACCAGCCTGGGGTCCGCAGGCTTGTGCTCAGCCTGAAGTCACCACCCTCGCCTGGCTGGGGGCCTGAGTTCCTGCAGAACTCAGAGGCGAGAATCATCGTCACAACACCCCATGGAGGAGCCAGCACCAGGCCACCTCTCTGCACTCTTGGTTCCTTCTGCGCTTCCTCACTCCACCAAGTATTAACTCAGAGCTTTTGGAGCTCAGTGAAGGAGTTGAAGCTGAAACATTTTTCCTTACCAGCAAGAAATGGGGTCCACAGAAAGGCCTTTATACCAGGAGACCCTACTGGGCCCTACACAGTTTCAGCATTTCTGCTTTAAGGGAAAGATAAGCACAAGATCTTATCCTTTGGGAAGTTAAACATCTAAATGATCTAGAAAGATCTATGATTTTTGTAGCCATACTCAATCACATGAGCTTCCCAGGTGGCTCAGTGGTAAAGAACCCGCCTGCCATGCAGGAGATGGAGGTTCGATCCCTGGATCAGGAAGATCCCCTGGAGAAGGAAATGACACCCCGCTCCGGTATTCTTGCCTGGGAAATCCCATGGATAGAGGAGCTGGTCAGGCTACAGTCCACGGGGTCATTTAGTCATGACTGAGCAACTAAACAATAACAATAAAACAATTACAATATGTAATTGAGAATTAGAGAGTGACATAGATGTTATCAGCAGGGCTGACGGATTGAGCCATGTAGGATGCCCGGTTACATTTGAATTTCAGATAAAAAAGTGAAAGTGAAAGTGAAGTCGCTCAGTCATGTCAGACTCGTTGTGACCCCATGGACTGTAGCCCCCCAGGCTCCTCCATCCATGGAATTTTCTAGGCAAGAGTGCAGAGTGGGATGCCATTTCTTTCTCCAGGGGATTTTCCAAACCCAGGGATTGAACCCAGGTCTCCTGCATTGCCAGCAGACGCTTTACCATTTGAACCACCAGGGAATTCCTCAGATAAAAAGCAAATACTTTTATTAGTATGATTCATGCAATAGTAGGACAGTATTTAGTATATTAAAATTACTCATTGTTTATCTGAAACTCAGGAAAAGTTTTCTTGGCTCAGTGGTAAAGAATCTGCCTGCAATATGGGAGACTCTGCCTTGAGCACTAGGTCAGGAAGATCTCCTGGAAAAGGAATCGAAACCCACTCCAGTATTCTTGCCTGGAGAATTGCATGGACTAAGGAGCTGGTGGGCTACAGCCCACAGGGTCGCAAAGAGCTGGACACGACTGAGTCACTCACACTACCACTACCACTATCTGAAACTCAGACTCAACTGAACAACTTGTATTTTATTTGACAGGCCTATCAACTTATTAAAAAGCAGAGACATTACTTTGCCAACAAAGGTCCATATAGTCAAAGCTATGGTGTTTCCAGTAGTCATGTATGGATGTGAGAAGTGGACCCTAAAAAAGACTGAGCACTGAAGCATTGCTTTCAAATTGTGGTGTTGGAGAAGACTCTTGTGAGTCCCTTGGACTGCAAGAAGCTCAAACCAGTCCATCCTAAAGAAAGTCAACCCTGAATATTCACTAAGGCCCGCATCTGCACATAATATTGGTAATATCTTGGCAATTGTTCACTATCTGCCAACTTGCCTATAGTGATGATTAGCTCCATCATTGCTGTTACTGCTTTGTCCACTTTCGAATTCCCTGCCCTTAGAAACTTAAAAAAAAAAAAAAAGTGATCTTTTTACCTGTTTCAAAGTTTGTTGCCCTTCTTAATCTGTGGATAAAGTCTAAACGTCCAAGCCTCCTCTTGAAGACGTCGGTCAATTTCGCTCAGCCTATGCAGTGTGTGTTGTCGCCACGTTCCGACATCCCTCTTCTTCCATGATCAGGTGCATCGTGGGAATTACCTGGCGGTCCAGTGGTTAGGACTCCACGCTTCCTCTGTTGAGGGCGATCCTTTGATGCCTGATTGGGAAACCACAGCAGCAACGACGACAGAATCAAGTATGCCTTTATGCTCTCTGCCCGTGGTCCTTACGCCTTTCCTCCGCGTTCTCTCCAGGTTAGGAGTTGCTTTCTCTCTCTCCCCAGGAAGCCCAGATCCACCCTTAACTCAAGAATTAGTTCATCCTTCCTTAAGAAATCAGTTTCACCTTCGCAAACTGAAGACTGTGTTGATCAGCCAAGACCCCTCCAGGGCTCTTGTGTTTTGAATTCTCTTAGAAACCCTGATTTGAAGCAGTGTTCCAACTGTTTGCTTATATTCTCTCTTAACATTTCTCCCTTGTTTCATGGGCATAATTTTTATCTTTCTAACTAAACTATAATATTCTTAACCACAAAGAGAGCTTATAAAAATATTTTTATATCTCCCATGGTGCCTGCCATGCTTCTGGGCATACAGCAAATGATCAAGAAATACTTTTTGGTTTTAATTGAATTAGCATCCAGGGAAAACAATTTAGAAAATAGTATATAATTCATATCAAATGTTTGAAACTATCTTACGGAAATTTGTAGGAAAACCTGTTTTGAAGGTTAACCCTTCTGACTTGGAGTTTTCTTAAAAGTCAAAACATTAAAAAAACAACAACAAAAAAAACCTCTGAATATCTTTATGGGATACTGTATTTAAGGGTCATTGTCTGATTACCCTCAGTCTAAGCAACTAACATGATAATCATAACTAATCACTGTCTTAGGTATCAACTATATTCTGGACACTGTGTCAAGCAGTTTTAAATTTATCATCTCATTTAATCCACATATGTGATGTATACAGTAACTGTTCCCTTTTTCTTTTAAATAAGAAGATTGAGGATGAGAAAGGTAAAAGAACTGTGCTAGGTTTTTTTTTAAAGCCTTACTGATCTTTTTGTGGCTGTGCTGGGTCTCGGCTGCGCCCGGGCTTTCTCCAGCTGCAGCCGGGTGGGGCACAGTATCTAGGTCGCGGGCATCAGTAGTTGCATTTCATGGGCTTTAGTTGTACGGCAGCATGTGGGATCTTCCTGTGCCAGGGATCAAACCCGTGTCTCCTGCACTGGAAGGCGGATTCTTTACCACTGAGCCTCCGGGGAAGCCCTGCTGGGTTTAAACTGGGGTTGAATGGTAAGGCTTAAACGTGGACGCACAAGGGCAAGTAAAGTCACCCCGACTCCTGTCTGGTCCTTTGTCAAAGCCCAGTAGGGGAAATCAAGGCTCCCTGAGTTCAAGAGTTCTTCCGCAGGAGATTCCGCACCCATTATTTTCTATCAATCAAGCCCTAACATCTTTTATTTATCTCTTGCTGTTTTTTTTGTTTTCTTCTTGTTTCCACTGCTTATTATTTTCAGATTTTTTTCCTCTTGCTTAAAATATTATAGCAGCCCAGCTGGTCTGACCATCTTCAATCTCTTCCTATTCAGTATACCAATATATTCTCTAAAGAATGATCATATAGAAGATAATTCTTAACTTCATATATTATTGTTAAAAGGGGAAAATGCTTCAGTGACTTCCAATGAAAACTGAGGTATAATGGTATCAGATTTTCTTTGGATTTCTGCATGTGCTATCCTCTAACAGGACATGCTTTTTGGGGGTGGTGATCATATCTGATTACTTTTTATGTTTTGTTTCTGAGAATTTAGCACACTGCCTGCAGCTAGTAGATGCTCCTAAATACCGACCAGAACAACTCAGAACACTCAGTAAGAGCTGACCAGAACAAGATCGAAAATCTATGATGAATTATGCGATTACAATACTGCTACTTCCTCGTTACTCAACTGCCGCTCTCCAGACTGCTAGTAATATAAGCTGGTGGTCCAATTGGAAAAGAATGTTTTCATCAAAATTGTTCATACATCCCCAATTGTTTTAAATGAACCTATTTGAGATTCATGAATATCCTCAGGGATTCAAAATAACTGATAATTCTTCTGAAAACCTGTTGAAAATGACCACTTAATACTTATTTATTGCATACTTTTCTTCACTTTCTTTCAGTCTCTACTTCTGATTTTCCCAGTAATGGCTATAACCTCTAAAGAAGGAAAAGAAAAGAACCCTGAAAAAGAAGGATATTGATCTTTTGGAAATTCCCAATTTTAAATGAAAACAAATGAAAAAAATATATAAACTAAAAGGGCTTGGTAATTTCACACCAGGAAGATAATTTCACTTACATGCTTACTCATTGAGAGAATGAAGATATTCCATGGTGGAACGTAATTCTACCATGATTTTAAGAATCCACATTTGGTATTCCATTCAGCCTCAAAATAAAATTCAAATTTTGCAACACTTCATTTAGCAGAATATTAATCCCCTGAGCTTGGAAAGGGGAGCCAGTGTGAACAAAATTTCACAGGGCCGATCGAGTGAAAAGCGCGCACACACCCATATATGTATGCACGCCTGTGCACGCACACGTGAAAGGAAATGGCTTTGAATGGCTACAGAAGTGCCCAGGTCCATGCTTAGAAGTTTGTCTGCTTTTTTGGCCTCTGATCTACTTGCTCAGAATAGACCAGGGCACAGGGCATGTTGGGATGAATAATTATTTAATCAAATAATTGCTCCATGCCTCCAACACCACTCCTTTAAGAACTGAGCTGGAAAAAAAAAAAAAAGACTAGCAAATATGTAAATTGGAACTGATTAGAGGATTAAGTTTCACTAAAAAAAAAAAAAAAAATTAAAAATTGGAATAAAAACAGCTTGCAAATCCCTGTAAGCCAAGACCTGTCTCTGAATTACAACACCAGCGCCTGTCGGCTGTGATAATTTCACTTCATTAAGTTCCAGATATAAATAGAGAGGCTTTTTTTTCCATCCACCAGTTTAAATAAGCATGGACTGAAAACACAGGGGTTATTTATCCACTCAGCTGTTTGTTATTGGGTCTTTGGTCTTGCTTCATTGTTGCATTAGAAATTTTCAAACACCTATATCCTGAAGCCAGGGACAATTCACCTCTGTAGAAATCATTTTAAAGCTGTTGCTTCCATGGCCAAAAATACTAAAAGAGTAAAACTCATCAAGTATTCTACATCCTGAAATGCAAAACAGACGTGTGGACGCTGCATATAGAGAATGCAGATAAATTAATAAGAAAACTTTAACACTAAATGTCAGTGCTTTGGGTACTAGTACCAGATTGCTTTATACAGAAAGATAACATAAGATACGTTATTTCTCCCGTATGTTTAAGGGTTCATACTCAGAGTTTTTGTTTGTTTTTTTCATAAGTCAGTGGTTCTCATGCTATAGATTTTTCAGTTATGTATAATTCAGTTCCTTCAAATTAACTGCAACTTTTGTCACCTGAAAATTTTAAAGAATAAAATTTATCACATGTAATGCCACTAATTCTAATCTTAAAAATAAAGTCTAGGACAAAAATCAAACCAATTGACTTAGAAGAGCAAAAAAGTAAACTCTTTATAGTTTAAGACCAGGATCAACAAATTTTTCTGTAACAGGAAAAATCAAGAGTATTATGTTGGTGCTTCTATAACCATTTAAAATGTAACTCTTTTAAAAATATAGAAGTTTTTCTTAGCATTACAGGCCTTACAAAAATGGGGGAGCATACTGGATTTGGGGAGAGAGCTTAATTCACCCACCTGGTTTAAGATTCACAAAATATTTGTGCTTTACCATTTTCTATGGTGTTGGAGAAGACTCTTGAGAGTCCCTTGGACTGCAAAGAGATCCAACCAGTCCATGCTAAAGGAGATCAGTCCTGGGTGTGCATCGGAAGGACTGATGCTGAAGCTGAAACTCCAATACTTTGGCCGCCTCATTCAAAGAGTTGACTTATTGGAAAAGACCCTGATGCTGGGAGGGATTGGGGGCAGGAGGAGAAGAGGGTGATGGAGGATGAGATGGCTGGATGGCATCACCGACTCGATGGACATGAGTTTGAGTAAACTCCAGGAGTTGGTGATGGACAGGGAGGCCTGGCGTGCTGTGATTCATGGGATCGCAAAGAGTCGGACATGACTGAGCGACTGAAGTGAACTGAACTGATACCATTTATCATTTTTTCCTAGGTTCAAATCTAGCTGCTGATGAGCGTAGACATTAAATGAGTTTCAGTCAGGACTGTTTATCTCAGAAAACTCAAGTTGAAAAACATTTTAAGTCTTAAGGAGAAATGGCTTTACAAGGTCTCTAGCTAATGTCAGTGGGCATTTGTCCATATACGAATATGGGCTGACATCTCTTGGTACCAACACCCATGACTGCTCAGGCGGGGCTGGCCACAGCGTCAGGGTGAATGACACAGCGGGGCTGGGGTCAACATGGCCATGTAACCTCTGAGCCGGGCTGGAGGCGCAGAGGCGGCTGGGGTCCGGCCTGACTTGTGCTTGAGTCAGGGCAGTTGGTTCTGTAAACCCTTGACTTTATTAGCCATGGTTTAGAAAACAGTTTCAAGAGACCAGTACCCAAGGAGAGAAGGTGATTCAGGAAATTGTTTGGGAGATCCTCAGCTTAACGAGTTTTGTTTCATTCTGGTCCATGGTTAACACTCCCCCAGCACTACATACATTGAAGAGAAAGCAGACATCCCCTGAAATGGCTTTATGTTACTTTCCTGTTATCACTAATGCCTGGATAGCTGAGGGGAAGAAAACTCGGAGCAGACTTAACTTCTAGCTCTGTCCAAGCTTTACTAGATGAAAGCAAGGATCAGCTTTGTTCCGAATCAGCGGAGGTCCAGGGAATTGCAAGAAGGTTGCATCAAGGTCTGAAAACAGAGCTCACATAGGCGGGCTGCGGAATGTGTCTTTAAATGTTGAAGCGAAGAATGAGCCTCCCAGAGCAAGATGGGGAGCCAGAAGCTACCAGTCTACATGACATCATCGTCAACTTCCTTCGAAACACACCAGTAGGGAATAGATATTGATTTATTTTAAATAAGCCATCCTTCCAGAAACTTTCTGGAGGATTTAAGCCTGGTCATTGAGACAAAAATC